CCACCCTATTTGACGTCAATGTCATTCAAATATATGCACCAACCGCCAACAAAGACGACGCCGTTATTGAATAATTCTATGAACAACGAACGTTTGATTAAGATGACGAATAAACAGGAGATAACCATCATAATGGGCGACTTCAACGCCAAAGTCGGACGAGGCAGTGTGCCAGGCACCACAGGGGATTTCGGACTCGGTGAAAGAAACGAAAGAAGGGACCGTCTTATACAGTTCTGCCAGGATCATAACTTACTACTCAGTAACACCATATTCAAACTCCCCCTAGCAGAATCTACACGTGGAAATAGTCAGCAGACTCTGCGGAAAAAATAGTTAGAAATCAAATCGACTATACAGGGTGATTCCAAATTGGCGTACTCCCTTGGAGAGTACGAGAAAAATATAGAAAATTTTTTTTTCGAAATTTTCTAGATGATATTAACAGTTGAAGATCGAATTTCAACTTTGCTATTAAGCATTATTTTGAAATTGGTCTATGTTTAATTAGTAGCATATTGGAATGCTTAAGCATTCAAAAAGAAAAATGACTATCTTTGCTTGAAATTACGAAAATTTTTTATATCAAAAATGTTCTCTTTTACAATTTTTTGATGAAAAGGCACAGCGGCAATCATGTTTTTTGCCATTAACAGATAGTTACAGGTGGATAGCCCTTGTCAATAATAACAATAATTTGTCAAACTGTAACTTACTTTGAATTTCCCTTCACGAATTTGCAGATCTGCGATTAGTTTAGGGGAAATGCTACAGTAACATAGCAGAAGCTGAAAGAACTCACGCCAACAAAGGGCGAGGAGAGTGGTTCTAGGAAGATAGTGGAAGATGGATGTTCGGGTTCCAGGCACAGAGGAACACGTATTGCACATAACCGAATCAGGGCCTTCCGGGGGTACTCAGAGCACAATAACTGACACTTTCCCAAGCACCAAATAAATACTGAGGAAGCGCTACGCTCCTACCACCTTTGTACGATACACACAGCACAAGCAGAT